GTTTCCTATGGACAAAATTATGTTATGAGTAAAGAGTGATGGAGAGTACCATCTAGTTTTGACCGTACATCATGAAGTGTGCAGTCTTGCAGGTAATGACAATGAATCTGCTACATGCATTTTCTGAGGTTCAAAGGTGTTGCCCTTTACGAATGAAGACAGGGTTCACAGCGTCCCCCCCTAACGACGCAGCCCATCTAAGGCCCAGACCCAGAGCAGCTCGTTTCCATGTACAAATAACACGGGCCGTGCGACGGGCGGGCCGCGGTGTCGCATTTGCATTACGCCACTGTGTTTCGGCCGCTGTATCATAGGCGGTGAGCTCGCCGGCCGCCGGCGCCTGCGTCCTGCACAGTGCGCACAGCTCGTCGGTCGACGACGAGCAATCGAGCATTGAAGTAGGCTGGCGACATTAAGTGGCCACGGAGGGTGCCCCATCCGACGACAGCCACAGGGTCGGCGCGGGACCATGCAAGGAGGAGACGTTAGTTTCAGACGCAGGGATCATTCCTTCTAACTGGATAAGCCACAGTAGGCGGCGCCGGCGCCGGACCCGGACCGCTCGCCGCGATCAATCCCTCCCCCTGTCCCGAATCACCTCCGTTGCGGGCGCCGAGGAGTCTCTGCGGAGGAGTTACTGTCACGCAGACCCCACGGTCGGCTGGACGGAGACGGCCAACCAATCCGGCCAAGCCCGTCTCCAGCAATCATTCGATTCGTCATCATTGCACGTTATCCTCTCGCAGTCTCGCTCTCCCTCTCGCTCTCGGCGGTGGAGCGCGAGCGCTAGCTGCTGTCTTCTCCGCGCGCAATGCGCGCGCGCACACACAACCGGTCGGATCAGAGCAGAGCGTATGCCTACGTCTCCTTTGCTGCTGCCTGCTGGGTGCTGGGCTGCCCGGCTGCCCTCTCGTTCATTCAATTCATCCTCTTCGATCCGCCCGCCGGCTGAGCAGGACCATACGATGGAACAAAACTACACTGTGATCTCCATCACGCATTCATTCGTGTGTGTCCCGGGCCGGGGGCCATCATGACCGGAGCGGAGCCGGTGATCGATCGGATCGGGACGAGGGCCACCCCGCTGGTCCGGTTCGTGCATGGCCGCAGATCGCGCACTGCACAAGCGTGCAGTGATCCTGATCCATTGCTGATCATCTCAGGCAGCCCGCCCTGCGTGGCTGCGTGCTACAGTCAGATCCCCTCCCTACGGCGTAGGGATACGTACGACGACGGCATCGATCATGCGCCGTTGCTGTCCGGACCCGATCGTCCTCGTCGCTGTCGCTCCAACTCATCCGCAGCCGGGCAAAGAGAGGGATAAACAAACGACACCGACGCCGACGTGCTGCATCACCCGCCGGTGCGACGACTCGGATCGCACCCGCACCGTTTGCCCGCCCGTCCGCCGCCGTGACCTGTGGACGCACCTTGCCCTCGCGGTCGTACGTCTCGGAGCAGAGCAGAGCAAGGCGCCAAGCCTTGGCATCATGACCGGATCGGCGGATTTGTCAGCCGACGGCGACGCCCATGGCGGCCTGCCTTTCAGCCTCCACCGCCGATCGAGGCCGCGATCGTGGGCGAGGAGGGCTGAGTACCATTTCCGGCGGATGGACAGGGGACCAAACGAACAGTTTTGCTCGCAGTCGCAGCAAGCCCTACTACAGCTGGACACGTCGACGTCACCGAATTGGGGCTGATGGAGACAGATGTTAAAATGAAATGGGAAATGGGCTGGCTCTGGTTTATTGTGCGAGTAGGTTTGCTACTGAGCGTGGGGAACACATGGCAAACACATCAATCAGCTTGGCAAACGACAACAACTCCAACAGTTAATAGCTTGGGCTAATTATGACCCTATTCGCTTGCTTTATAATCCGTATTTTTCAGCTTGTTTTTTCAGCTGGAACAGTGTTTTTCTCTCACAACAAATCAGCCAAAACAGTGTTTCGCCTCCCCCCCCCCCACCCCCGAAGCGAATGGGGCCTATGTCATCCCATGATGTCTTCGTTATGTTTCAAATGTAGTTTATTTTAGTTTGTCTTAAATCATACTTTCTAATTTGGGTCAAATTTATAGGAAAAATGCATCAACATCTGCTATTTAAATCAGTTTCGTTAACTTTTTCATATGACTGTGTCTTGATAGTGTATTTTATTGAAAATTGTACTACCTCCGTTCCGCGCAAAGAGTGTTACCAAACAAATATCATTAGATTTATCATGAAACATAATTTTATAGTCAAATTTATTTGGTGTCATAAATGTTTGGTGAAACTTGTCATAAATGTTTGGTGAAACATAAGGTATTTTGACTTAGGGCAAAACCAAGACATCACTCTTTGCAAGACAGAGATAGTAGATGCTATAATACTTTCCTGAAAAACCCGGTCAAAATTTGAGAAGTTTGACTTAGGCAAAGCTAAATTGAACCATACTGTACTAATTTTGTGCAGGGAGTATAAATGAGTATCTTTGGGACAGAGATAATGGGCCTGTTCGCTGGTTGGTGTTGGTGCTGGTTTGGGCTGGCTGGTGCTGGTTTTTTGTGAGAGGAAAACACTGTTGGCTGGCTGGTTTGGACTGGCTGAAACCAACAAGCGAACAGGCTCAATATCAAGTAAAAGCGACAAGTTCACTCCAATAATACTATATATATTATTGGACCAATTCGGTGAGCTTTATCTCAGGAACAAAATAGGTAGAATTAAGTAATTAACTATAGGATTTCAGTAAACTATGCTTATGCAAGTTTGTCCCCTGAGGAAATGCATAAGCAAATATCAATTTTCTCTATTGACACGTTTTTTTAAAAGAATTTAATTTGCAGAGTGGCCAAGTATGTATCACATTCAAGCGTCAAGGGAAGCCACTAAATAGTGTAGAACCATATATTGGACTGATTATGTGACAACGACAACTCAACAGTATATATAATGATATTTTTATAAATTTTAGAATAAGAATATACCCATTACAGAAACGTCAAGGGAGTAGTTCGTATAATACAGTATACTATATTGGACTAATCCAGTGAATTTTGAAGAAAAAAACTCGCCGAATAACTGGCAAACTCTCGGTAGTGTTGGACCCGCCATTGCAGGGTGTGAACCTTCACTGGAACACCCAATTTAACATTCGATCAATACCTCGCAAATAAAATATTCCAACGATCTAATATAGCTGAAACATTGTACATATGGATTCCTTAGTAGTTAGTGCTGTCATTGAAGGCTATCCAATTATTTAGCCGACATGCGACATTAGATTTATACGGACTGCCATCTAATAAACCTGTTTTTTCTTCCTTTGATTGAAGAAGAGAATTGACCGAATAAACAACGAGCTCTCATCAAGTTATGATTATGCAAGGTTGGTTGTTGTCCAAAGGAGATGCTTATGGAAGTTTCAGTTTACTTTTTTATGCTGCAAGTTGTTGTTGTTTTTTCATTTCATTTGCTGGTAGTAGTTGTGTCCAAGTACGTGGCACGTCGAAGCATCAAGGCAGGTCATTCTTGCAAGAAAGGGCATCGCTATTTTTTCCAAGTCTTCGAGGCACTGTTGGCCAGTACTAGCGCACTCACGTACACGGCCTTCTCATGAGCTGTGCGCCTTGCAGCCGTCAGTTTTCCACAGCCAGTCCACTCGCCGAGAGAGGACAGGACGGAGGCTAGCAGCAAATGTGTGTACCTGTACCATGCCATCAAAATGGCTATCGCCAGGGAGCAGAAAAAGGACCGGGGCCGAGCACGACGACACGAAACCTACTTGCAGGAACCCAGCGCTGAATACGCCGTGTTTTTTTTTTAAGATACACGTAGAAATCATGCACGGGAAATGAGAATAGGGGAGACAGCACAGCCTGATCCTGATGCCGACAGTACAAGACTTTGGTGTAGCCTTGCATTACTATACTACCCCGTTGTATACGACAACACTTCTCTGTTCAGTATTTTCGAGGTTTTTTCTCTCTCTGTCTAGACAATGCAGTGATAGAGATGAGAAAAATTGCTGTGTATGTGCTTGCGTCTGCATCCGAATATGCAGGCGGCGTTTTTTTCGCAGTCCAGGCCTGAGTGTTCAATTGCCTCTTCTGGATGAAGTGTGCAGAGCTATGGCTGGCGCTACCATTCTCGCAGCACTACGCCTGAACAGAGCAGCGGCGTTTTGTGAAAACCGGGCAGGATTCGGTTGCGGCGTGGATGGAGCACGGATGGGAGCACGGCGGAGTACCACGAATTGAGATCCAGCAGGAACCGAGGAAAAAAGCGATGGATAACCTACCGAAATTGGGGGAGACAACGACGTTCCCCCGCTTGTTTCTAAACGACGGCCAGGGCAACAGGCAACGCCGATTTACGAGACTTACCCAAGTAAATGAGCTGTGATCGTGAGTTGTGTGAAAGGGAAATGTGTTGCCTACCCGTGGTTAAAAATATCAAATTGGTGTGCCCATTTCTGATTTATCCAACAATTTCAGATCAGTCTTCATATTTTCTTATAACATCTGCAAAAATTACCAGGACATGCTATGTCTCATGGCGTGAACTGTGAACGGAGTTGATCAGTCTGGGCTGAAGAACACTTCACTATGATGAACTCATGGCAAACTCAGTTACAACAACAAAATGATGGCACAGAAACATTTGCATCAAGCTGAGTAGAAATATCTCATACTTGTACTTTCCTCATAAGATAAAAATGCAACAAACAGTAACACTGTATCGTTCCAATACCAGCCAGCGCACATATTAGTAGAACTTAGAAGATGGTGCATGTAATATTTGCACCATATCTAGTACACAATCTACTTTAATTTTGCGAGATCGATCACATGATCTCTATGGGTAGAATCGAGTTGCCATACATCCAGCATATCATGGAATGAATCAGTTCCAGGCCTAAACTCTAATGATGGTCAGCTTAGGAGAGCTTTGCTTGCCACAGGTCTTCTTCGTACCACCTATATACAAAAATATCAACCTTGGAGATCACCAGGGACTAGAACTCAATCTTTGCCTGATCAGCTTGTAACTGACCTGCATCAGATACAACATATGATGGGTATATTAGTCAAATGGTAATCTCCAGAGTGTGCAGTTCAATTGATCGCCCATCATTTAGGCATAAGTCGCATACCATCAAAGTTCGGTACTAAAAGCCCATCCTCCTGTCTTTGCTCACTACCGGTAGGCAAAGCATTCTGTAGGCCATCCTCCCAGAAGTCCCTTTGCTGAGAAATAAAATCAGGGATAACAGTATTATTGATAAGATTCATATTAACTGCCATTAATTATATAGATTGCTGATTTCTCAGGCAACATTCACCTGCTTTTGAAAAGCAAACTGTGGGTTGGCCGTGTGGGGTAGAGCCGTGTCTAACAGAGTTAGAGAGCAGTGATCCTCCATAGCACCCGAACCAAAGTTGTGGAAAAGATCCGCTTGGTCACAAAATGGAAAAGCTGCACCGGCACTTTCCAATGGAAAGACCGAATTTGCTGAAGGGCCACATGGTTGGTACATCTGAATTAACCAGAAAAAATAGCGTGTCAAGAGCAGATTGTTCTATAGATATAGAGCATCAGAAATGATGTTGTTCAAGCTTACATCTTTGTGTAGGAGTGTCGACAGGTTGCTGAAATCAAGTTGCGGGTTCACAGTGGCAAGCTTCATGGACAGGAACTGAAAGTGTAATAAACAGCAAAATTGATTAGAATTTCGAGCTATGACCATGTTATGTAACCAAATGTAAGTGGAATCCTCACCTCAACTTGCTGCTGCAGCGACTGCACATAGTTTATGATCTCATCGATCATGAGTGCCTTGCCAACCACCTACAATAGGGAATCACCTCAAATTAGCCCAATTACAGACACCAATTGACACTTTAGACACAACAATTCACTGTCTAGGAACTGTATGATCAGACCTTGTTGCATCCTGGCACTAGGTCCTGTAGAAACTTCATCCTCTGGCTAATCTTCTCTCTTCTAACCTATCAAGACACCAATAACAAAGTGTGATTGTGAATTCAAACCCAAAGAACAAAATTCCGTTTGCAATTCAGCCCAAACGGTAGGAACCAAGTGGAACTACAGTGTCTTACCCTCTCCGCAAGGCTGTGGCTGTCAGTCGCCTGACCTCGCCGCGCCCGGACATGGACGTAGTCTTTGGGCGGTTCGACTGCCGGCTTCGGGCTCTTCCCCTTACCCTTCTTCTGCCCTTTGACTTCAACCGATGCGTCGATCGCCGCCGCCTCCTCTACCTCGGGCTTCACCGGACTGTCGCTAGCGCCCACTCTGCACCTCTTCCCGTCAGGAACCTTGGCCTCCGCAGCCTGCAAACCAATATTCAGAACGACACCATCAAGAACCAGCAAGCTAAATTCAAAGCACTCGGTAGCGGAAGAATCCAGTGCGCGCTGGTCGTTTCCGCACCTTGCCCAAGCAGGCCTCCTTGCCGCCGGCGGACCCCGTGGGCGGCGCCTTGCGCTTCCTGGCATTGCCGCCGTCACTGGCGCGCACCCACGCCGGGTCGGACACCGAGGACCCCTCCGGGGACCCGCCGCCGCCGCTGCCACAGGCCCCCGCGGCGACCCCGGGCACCCCGAAGAGGCTGGCGCCGCCGCAGAGCGTGTCGAGGAACCCGGTGTCCAGCGCGGCGAAGTCGAGCGCCGGGGCGGATGAGCCCATGAGCAGGCTGGCAACGTAGTCGCTGTCCATTGAATGAAAGAAAGGGCGCTGCCGCAGGAATTGCGCAGGAAGCAAAGTGGGGTGAGGAAGTCTTGGGTCGTCTCGTCTCCTCCGAGCTCGAGTCCGCGCTGGATTTGGGGGAAAGCGAAGCGAGCGAGGCCGCGGAGCCGGTAGGTGGGGGATTGCTTTATAGAGCGGTTGTTGCCGCTGCGGTTGGGTTTGCGGGCCGCGCGCCGCGTCCGTCGCGTACCTCGGCGCGGTGGGATGCTTGCGGCGGTGGGTTACCAACGGGTTCTATTGCGGCGGCGCTCGCGGAGGAGAGGGGAGAAACGGCGGTCAAAACGGGACGGGGCAGGTGGAGGTGTGGCCGCCGCGCCGGCAGGCCGAGGAAATAACGGTCTCTGGCAGCTCACCATTGGGGGGCAGTGCTCCGGTATTTCTGGCTCCGAAGGAAAGACGTTTCTGCCCCTGCGCTAACGCATCACGGAAGGTGCCCTCCAGCGTGTTGACAGACTGGACCGTGAAAGAATTCTAAAAATATGCCGTCTTTTAGGGTGAGTAGGGTGAGTAGTTTTGTAGTACTACTGGACTAGGATCCAAATTTCTAGAACCTCTATTTGACTGGCTAGTACTTGCTCTATTTCAAAACTTTTTTTTTGTCATGCATTTGCTAGGTATCTGGATATGTTATATATATATATATATATATATAGCAAAATTATGTAAAAAAAAGTCAAATCGATTTATAATTTGGAACGGATAGAGTAATTCTTATATTTTTAAGAGTCAAATAACTTAAGCTTAACTAAATCTATAAAATAATTAGTAATATTTATGACACTAAATAAATATCAATAGATTATTACAAAAATATTTTTATATCAAACCTATTTCAAGATATACATATTGATATTATTTTCTCTAAATTTAGCTAAGCTTAAGAAGGTTTGACTTAATTTGAATCTAGAATTGCATTAGTTAATTAAAGTTTAGTTTGGGTCGTGTTTGAATCGTCAACTAAGGATTTGTTTAGCGTGGCTCCCGCACGGCTCCAATTCTGGCTCCGGCAATAGAGCCGCACCAAATGGTGCTGGCCGAAGGAGCGCTTTCGAAATGAAATGGCTAAGGATGAGCCATTTTCTTGTACGACAAACAAAGCCATGATTTTTGGTTTTGGCAAAAGGGCTCCGACAGGTGAGCACAAACAACCCCTGAAAGTCTCATGAGGTGGGTTTACCCAACTAATGGACTTGTTAGTTGGAGGGCTAGACTAATAGTCGACCTAATAATCTGAATATTTGGATAGATTACGACTAAATTGTAGCCACTCATTATTAGTCCAAGCGATCTAACCAAACCTTTATTACTCATAGTTAGTGCAAATTCAAGTTGGATAATATAAAAGTTCTGCAAGAATGTTAAGCCCTCAGGCCATCGTGTGGCTTATTGGTGCATGTTTGTCACCTCAAGCTAATCAAACTCAATACCCCATTTGGTAAAAAAAAATATATAAGCCCTTGTTTAGTTCGCGAAATTTGGATTTTGGGACTACTGTAGCACATTCGTTTTTATTTGGCAAATAGTGTCCAAACATTGACTAATTAGGCTTAAAACGTTCGTCTCGCAATTTCCCACCAAACTGTGCAATTAGTTTTTCTTTTCGTCTACATTTAATGCTCCATGCACGGGCCGCAAACATTCGATGTGACAGATACTGTAGCAACTTTTTGGATTTTGGGGTCCAACTAAACAAGGGCTAAGTCTTCAAACCATCAAGCTCTGAGACCACAGAGTGGCTTACTATTACTGATGCATTTTTGTCACCTTAACCTAATTGACCTCAATACCATATTTCATTAAAAATATAAGTTCTTTTAAAAAAACCAGTGTCTGTAAGCTGTCATCTCAACCAAAGTTTTATATAAAAAGACACTATTTTATTTAAGAAGGAATACACATTATAATAATGTTGTTTCAAGATGAGTACTGTCGGTGTTTCGGATCACCGGATAGTAAATTTCTAGTTTGCGCGTTTGGCCCGAATGGTGTGCTAGGAGGACACAAGGATTATACTGGTTCAGGCAGAACGTCCCTACGTCTAGTCTGCTACTGCTCGTGTTAGTGGCACTGTCTGTAGTACGGGTTACAGATGGGCGAGAGAGGGAGCGGATCCCAAGTCTCTGGTGGAAGGATTGAAAAGTGCTGATAGTTTTTTCACTGCTCAGCCGTGTGCTCGTGCCTATGTCCCCCTCGTTGTGTTGCGTTGTGTTCCCCCTTTTATAAAAGAAGAGGAAGTTGCAGGTTACATCAAAAAAGAGAAGAGAGAGAGAAAGAGGGAGAGAATCGAGGAGAAGAAGCCCTCTGGGACTGCCGCGTTCTTCTTCTCCTTCATGCAGGTCCCTCCGATGCTGTAGATGGTGACGGGGACGGCTCCACGTTGGGCTCCTATTCACCACTAGTGCTATGCCTCGACGTCATCAGCTGGTCGTGGCGTTCCATCCCGTCCTAGCGGACGGCGTGGTGAACCGACGTGTCTGTCAGCAGCCGTATGGGGATTAGGCAGCACAGCGCCCGCTCACCCATCACTGTTGGCGATGCGAAACCCCGGGCATGGCCTGTCGTGGCCACGGGTCATGTCAAGGCGTGCCCACGCCCCTTCTGATGTCAGAGGCTTGACCTAAGCCCACACGCTTGGACCCGTATTGGTTGGGGGTGGTACGGACCCCGCCGGGAGAGGCGGAGCCCACGCCCGAGGTGTCGAGCGAGATGGAGCCTGTGCCCTCAGGGTCGGGCGAGACGGCTCTCGTACCCTCGGGGTCGGGCGACACAGGGCCCGTGCTAGAGGGGTCTGGCGAGGCAAAAAGTGTCCCTTCGAGGTCGGTCGAGACTGAAATACATCCTTGATTATCTAGGCAGGTTGTCATCCGCGGTCCTCAGATCCCTTCTTTGGGTATCCCTAATACTGATACCCGATAGTAGCCCCCGAGCCTGTGGAGGAGTAGGATACTCCTTCGTAGGTTTTTTTGGATGGAGGGATTTTGAGGACTTGGATGGATGGAGGGACTTCCAGTGTGGCAGAACCACCCCAAAATAACACGCTTTCAGAGGCGCTCGTCTTCCACTAGACACTAAGCACCCGAAAGTTAGCTACATCGGACAGTTCCGTCGAGCGCACCCCATGGGAGAACTCGAATCAATCCACGTTTGACCTCCAGAATCCAATAATGAGTACAAGTTTACAATACTTAGTCCATTTCATACAACAAGAGTTCTTGGAAATTATTTATTACAATATTAGAGTTTAGAGTGCGATAATTAAACAACGAAATTGAAATAAACGTCTAACAGAAATGATACAAGGATCCATCTATGCCCACCAGAAGAATCCTCCACACAAGAGCTACTCCTCAAGCTGCACCCGCAACAGGGGTAAAATAAACGCTGAGTACACAATGTACTCGCAAGACTTACCCGACTAGAGGGAATAGTTTTTCGACTCTCAACGATATGAGAGGCAATATGGGTTTGCTGTTTTCTTTTTGTTTGCAAAAAGCATTACTAGAAGTACGTCCTTAAAATCAAGTTTAATTAGCAGTCATGATTACTTCATTAGCTAACCATTCTAGGTAAGCACATGTTCTACTTTCAAGCAAGGGTTGAGCAATCAGAACCAATTTACCATCTTTCATATTCCACTTCTTACTACGGTGCTAGACCATAGCCAGGTCATATCATCTCATAGAAACAACGATTCGTAAACCAATGTATCCCAGCTGGGTACACTGAAACACATGCCCTGTTTGTATCCCAGGCACAAACAAGACCAACCCATTCTACTCTTATCACAGGGTCCAGGTCCCCGTCCAAACTTGGACTCTAAGCCCCCACACTTGAGACCCGGTCTTAGTATGGTGCTTAGACCTCCATCTTTCCCTGCCTCCAATCAGTCGGTCCGGAAAGAGCCAGAACCCACAACAAGAGCATAACGAGCCTTCCCACTCCCATAAGCAAGTATGTGCTCAGGATAATAAGTCTGTGACCTGACTGGCATCCACTGCAACGGACGGTCCTCAATCGACAAGGATAGGGAAAACAGTGTAACCAAGCCATGCCCAGTGGTCGCGGGGCATAACTCATCACACCTACCAATATCCATACTATATCCCTGCCCGGTCTCCATTTTCCTTTCATTATTTTTATCATGAGAGTAATTATGATAATCACATATTGTGATTAACGGCAGGTTACTCACGCTACCGAAAACCTAAGCATAGCAACTACTTGAACCTGCACTAGTAAGACTCATAGGACAGATATATCTATGCATGTTTTTTTTCATAAAATTCTTGTAACGTAAATGCACATCACACATATATATTCAGTGATTATCAAAAATAAGAGTTATGCATCGGGGCTTGCCTTGGGCAGGCGCGGTGTTAGCTGAATCTGTCGTCGGTGGCTCCAGGACCTCCTCCTATACGAGAATCTCCTCCTCATACTCCTCGATGATCTCATCAAACTCGTGATCGTCGGTGGTCACTATCTCCACCAACTCGTTCTCTACATACATGCGATGATGATGCAACACTTAGCATTTAGGCAACAACAGCTCTTAAAATAAGGATACACATACTAGGCTACTAAGCTAGCTCTAATGACTAAGGTACTAAGCTAACTATCATTTTCATCGAGCAAAGTGTTGGGTTCAACTAACAAACACCTAGCTTTACAAATTAAGGATATATCTTTATTTCTACTAATGATTTAATGTATATTGAAACAAAGAGCATTTAAGTACCCTAATGCTTAGTCTATTCTAAGGCTACAAAAATTACAATGAGCACATAATAATACAATTAAGATACCATAAAAATTTCAGGACTAAAGCTGTCACCAATTTACCACAAAAATTCCTATAATAATTAACTTAATATTATGAAGCACTTTCAAATGATTTAATAGCTCCTAGTGTCAACACATATAAACATGAACTAAATACATCAACTGATAGATCATAATTTTAGGAACCT